TGCCTAAAGCCCACACTAATGCAATCACACCTGAAAATCTCAAAAATAATCCTTTGACGACTCCTGCGCCCGCTTGTTGTCCATGAACGTACCTCCTGCAAAAACAGACAATTACGATAGGAAGAAGAAGCATAAAAATCGAAGCAACACCTTTGCCATATTCCGCTGGCTTTAAAGGGGTCGATCCACGCCGCTGTATCCATTGGGAGCAGCTCTTTCTTCTGAATCCTTGTTCTCCGAGAAATTCGCAGTATGTGAGAGCCATATCCAATTTGATGTCCTCACATCGAGAAATAGATGGTTCTTCCATTTGCAATCGACTCCACAACTGGTTCGCGTCCATCCAATCACTCTGATGTTGATCGAACATGGGTAGCGTGAATCAGCGCCGTTCCACAAATTTGCTGGTTAGGTAGACGATGAATGGACGGCAGCTGCTTTGTGGAAAGATGAGCCTACCTGAATCGCCTGTTCAAAGTAAGATACACAGCTAAAGATCACAAGCAGTGCATACCCCTGATCCCCGAACGGATCGCCCATTAGCAGGATAGGTGGCTACTGATTGCGGCTGAACTTTCGGGACCTGAACATGTAGATTCAGTGGTAAAGAACGAGCTAATGCGGTGATAGAAGTAGACATTCGTACCGTGACAACGGCGAACCAGTCTCAAGTCTCGTGCATTTCTGAGTAGTCTCATACGCACCCATGCTCCTTGAACTCTTTTCCCACTAGATTGACATTTGCACTATAAGATGGCAAAGCGGTCTGGACCAGAAATGGGCCGGTTTCGATAAGGACGGCGTCAACCTGAACTGAAAGCTATTACCGTAATCATAAGAGAAGGCGTTTGATTGTGGTGTACCTTGATTCCCAGCTCGGATCGCCTTACAACAGAACTGTTCTATTAGACTGATCCATCCTCATAGTTTTTTTCGTATCTATGGCTGTTGTTAGGCGGCTGTTGGTAGGCGAAAGACTTCACAATAACTTGGCAGATGTACATTCCAGTCGCAAATTCTGAAGGCAATGAATGGGCCCGTATCGATGAGGACGGCTCAACCTAAATCGAGAGCCATGAGACGCCAGACGAAAAAATCGTTCGATGGTCACGCACCTCGATCCCCGTTCGGATCGCCTTGCAACAAAATTATTCTATAGGCCGATCCGTCCTCGTAGTCTTCCTCGTATCCATGGCTGTTGGTAGAAGACAGGCTTCACAATTAGTTTGACAGATGTACGTTCAAGTTCTATAGACAAAGAATGAGCCTGTGACATAGGGGCCTGTTGTCAACCTGAACTGGATGCCGTAACAAAGACATTTAAAAAGGAGTCCAATATTGACATACATCCGATCCCCGTTCGGATCGCTCTACAAGAAAATCGTTGAAATATGACGACACCTTCAATATTGTCTGCTGCAGCACATCTGAAACATATCCCGAAATCGAGTACGTAGTGTACAGCGTCCCGTGGTTTTTCATTGTTTATGGAAACCTCCACATATTTGGACTTACTTCATTGTTTCGAGGCGACCTTCAGTCTTCATTCTCACCATGCTTTGAAATGGATCTTGACTCACTTCGAAATGCAACCCAATTCGCAACCATATCTGCAAAGACGAGAAAGAAAGGCGAACTTGAAGTTGACTCAGGGTCATGCGATGCGGTGAACCACAGCTGGTGCTCTCCTTCTTCTTCATCCTTTCCCTAGCGTTGGTCCCGCAGGGTCTGTTGTTCTTATCAGTCGTCTCCTCTCCTGTCAGACCTCCTTCTATTTACGGCTTCTGCTGCCATTACTTCAGCTTTGATGAGGTCTTCTCAATCACGTCTCGCCACCTCTTCTTTGGGGCTTCTCCTGATCGCTTCCCTTGAGCCTAGAACTCCGTTGTCTCCATTATAAACCACTGCTGATGTTATACGAACCATTTTCGGTAGAGAAAAAATCACTGAATCCTATTACAGGTCACTTGGGGACCCTTAATGCATTACAGGAACACATGAAAAGAGGGTGACTTGTAAAATATATCCGTTGTCCGTTTTTCCTGTATATAATTCGTCGGTTTCGTGCTTCAGTACTTCTTTATTGGTTGAAAGCTCCTTCTCAACCCGATAGAGCTGCAATCCTTGCCCTTCACGCCGCTGGCCATATCCTGCCGAAATCTGCCGTATTCACAAGGTGCATCGTCACACTGTCCATAGGACCTCGAAGCGAGACATTTTTCAGGATGTTCCTCGTGGAGGTCGTCCAGCCTCGACAGCCTCTAATGACTCGTGAGAGTGGTCAGGACCCGAATCCACTGCAATTCAAAGAGCAGCACGAGGAAGTTGGCTAAGGATATGAGAGATATTAGTCGAACGATGACAAGAGTATGCATCACAGAATTCGGATGCGCTCTCATAAGTTCCAAAAAAAGCACGCTTTCTCGGACGCTCAGAGGAAATGAAGAGTGGAAAATGCAGAAGGCTTTCGGAGAGAATCGCAAACGATGTGCATTTATTGATCCTCTTGAGCTATTCACAAATGAGTACTCTCCAGGAAATCCGGAGAAGCTGGTAGAGCAGAAAGAATAGTCACCCGAAGTCCACATAGTGCATTGGTGATGATTTGGGCAGCAGTATCCGCAAATACTGGCTCCATTATTTTTAGTGGAATAGGGAAGAAAATCGATGCCAATCACTATCCCAAGGAATTTCCGAAAAAGGTAGCGGTCAACTGAACTTCCGGGAAGATTGCATTTTCCAGCAAGACGGTGTACCAATTCATCGAGAGGCTTTGGTCCAGAAGTGGTGCCGTGCAATTGAACCGACTTCATAGCAGCAGAAGACTGGCCCACTCATTCCCTTGACTTGATATTCATGATTAGTGTTGGGAAGCCACATGAAGGAGTGTTTCACTTTGTGGAAAGACCATCGCTCACCGCCACGATAGACCCTGAGTCAACTCATTCGTGTTTGTCATACTAAATGAAAAAATGAAACTGCTTTCACATTTCTGCCGCTAAACGGATATGTTGCCAAAAAAATGATGTGTTGAACGTCAAGTGAGAGGGCAGAAACGTGAAATTTGCAAAAAATAATCTTCAAAGCTGCGCTTAGAGTGAAATTCTCGTCGTCTTTGAGATCGGAGCTCCTTCCTGTTGTGGGCTGCGCCGTGTCCTCTGCGTGGCTGACAATGTGGTCCTTCGCAAGGGTGACATGGTCCTTTGCTGGTTGGCTGTGTGGTCCTCCGCACGGCTAGCCGGATGGTCCTTTGCTGTTGGCCGTGTGGTCCTCCGCGTGGGTAGCTGAATGGTCCTCTATGCGATCGGCTCTAAAGAGCAGATAGCCCAGCTCAGCTCTTCGATGACCATCATCAGAACCAAACCTTTTCTTTCTTCTTTTCAATCCGAATACAGTCCGCGATGGAATCTCAAAGATTCCAGTGAATGCGTCGTTCGCAGACTGGAAACAAAGCATCGTAAGGAATGAAATGTCGCGAGAAAAGAGTTTTCCGAGGAGAATGGAGCAATAGCTACATTATTAAGGTAAAGCCGAAATAAAGAGTCGCACTTGCAGAGAATCCGCCGCATATTTTAAAAGCATAGGAAAGAGATTAAGAATGATGGTCCATTACTTTTCATATAATCTCCTTCACTGAATAAATAAATAAGATGTGGAGATAAGATGTTTATCAGAGCTGAAAGCCAAGGAGCTCATTAATCGATGGTACGACGAAGCAAAGTTCATAGATGGGCTCGGTGACTAACTTTGGCCTCGAGAATGTGCACGAATTCCTTCTGAATATCTTCCACCACGTCAAATGAGCTTGAAAAAGGAGGATTGCGTTACTAGGGAAGGCGAAACAACACATGAATTAGGAAGCTCAGAAAGGATATCAGAATATTTTCAGTATGGTGGTGGCACGATGATCTTACTCATTTTCATCGAGACAAAGCCATCATGCCAACAAATGTAGGTTATTGTGTCTAGCCCAGATATCAACTAACCCACCCAGTACTTACCCAATATGAATGGAAATCGCATTCGACTAGATCAGATTATTCTGTATGTTCACCATCACGGCAGATCCTTCATAAGCTTGGTCTTGGTAAATAACGAGACAGCGATTCTGAAGCAGCCCACGAAGTAAAGAAACCCATTGAGTAATCGTTCGTACGAAGCAGCAAAGTCCACGTATGGGCTCGGTCGATGAACGGGGTCGCAAAGACCCCATGGCTTTGCTCGAATCCCTTCCGGCCCTTCAACCGATCAAAGTT